TCCCTTCTACTCTCTTGACTGCAACACACACTTCTTTCTCTCAGGCTGGCTCCACTCCCTGTTAGCAGCTTTCCTCCACAGGAATCCCATGACTCCGGCATTTCCAATATTTTGGGTTCTCCAGGACACTCCAGGCTTCACCTTCACAGCATCTTTGCACAATGGCCTCTCAGGTCCTCATGCAAAGACCCTGCCACGTACCTGGTCTCAGCGGCTTTCCTTATTTGCAAAGCAAGATTGCATAGCCCTCTCTCCTCTCCTTGACTCTAAAGCCAGAACCACATGACCGAACTGCCATGTTATGCAGCTCACTGGGACTGGACCATGGCCCTCTCATTCAATTACCTCTTCACCAGCTTTCTGTTTTCCATGGTTTCCTTCACTGCCTAAGCTTGATTATCCTGACACGCCATCTGTAGAGCAGGCTGACCTCAAACTCAGAGATCTGACAGCCTTTGCCTTCTGAGTAATGGGATTAAAGGTGTTCACTGCCAAACCTGGATCTAAACTGTTCTTTGATTCCTTTTCACAAATTGGAAGTTTAGCTGGGTGGGTTCTTGCCCTGAGGTCACCATTCCCTTTATTTGATTTCTTAATCTGTTTGCATTAAGAACTGAACACAATTTAGATCCATTCCACTTCCTGGTGTCCCTTTTCTCTTCAATCTGTACATTTTGTAGTTTTACTTGCTTAGTGAACCCCTTTTCATTATTAATCAACAGGAGTAACCACACAGCAGAGTCTATACTAGGCTGTTTTGAGATTTCCTCTGCAATGCAATTAATCCAAAACTTTAGCCTCTGGCAGATTTTTTTAGACAAGGGCAAAAACCAGCCACATTCTTCAGCAAAGTATCACAAGAATGATATCTAGGCAACATACTAAAATTCTCTTCTGAAACATTTTGATCCAGCCCCCCCCCCCAGTTCAAATCACCCTTGGCACCACTGCCTTCTGTGTTCCTACTTGTATGGGATTAAGCCTCACTTAAAGTATTCAACTGTTTTTCTAATCCAAACTCCCAAAGTCTACATTTCTCCAAACAAAAACATGGTCAGGTCTATCAAAACAATACCCCAGTCCCTGGTACCAACTTTGGTCTTAGGGTTCCTGTAATGGTTGCTCTGTCCCTTTAAGAGACAAGCAATGCCCATTCCCTCCCCCATCTGCTGATGGAGAGCTGATATTCAGCTTCCAGCCTGAGTCCCTTCTCTTTTTCTTCTCTCCCCAAAAGAGGTAGCTTCTGCCTTGCTCCTTTCTCCCTACTTCTCCTATTCTCCCTTCTCTGTTTTTCTCTCTGTCTCTCTGCTCTTCCCCCTTTCTCCTTACCCCCTATCCTCTTCCCTTCCATAGCCCACTAAATAAATATCCAACCTCACTCTGCATGGTGTACCTATCCATATCTCTGTCTCTCACCCACCACGTCTCTCTTCCCCCGGACCAGATGCCTTTGGAGACCTGTGGCATGGTCTCGTGGCATGCCCATCTGTCTGTCTCTCCTCGTGGGACTGGCTGCCCCATCGAAGTCTCTCACCCACCACACAGCTCCCTCCCTGCCTGGGACTCGTGGCCCACTGCAGCCACTTGGGGAACTACGCCATCCCTGCCTGGGACTGGCTGCTCTCAGGCTGCCCACTGCCTGCTGCTGCTCAGGGAACCTGCAGGACCTGCAGTATGGCCTTGGGACCCTGCCCGCTGCAGCCACTAGGGGATCTGCAGCATTTTTTACTTAATCCATTATAGTTCCTATTGCTGTGAAGAGACACCATGACCTCACCAACTCTTATAAAAGAAAACATTTAATGGGCTGGCTTACAGTTTCAAAGGTTTATTGTTATGGCAGAACATGGTGCAAGAGAAGGATCTAAGAGGTCTACATTTCGTTCTATAATTGGTAGAAGCAACTATGTCCCACACTGGGCATAACTTGGGTACATATGACCTCAAAGCTTGCTCCCAAGGTGACATATTTCCTCCAAAAAGGCCACACCTCCCAATAGTGCCACTCCCTATAGGCCAAGCATCCACGCATACAGTCTATGGGGGCACTCCTGTTCAAACCACCTCACATACCTCAAGATCCTAGGGGGAAAAGCCATATACAAAATCAGTAAGTGGAAAGTATTAATGAAACACCCCAAAACAATGAAATCAGTAATACAAAGAATCAGTGCAACAAAGAGTTGATTCTTTGAAAAGATAAAATCAACAATCTTAGCCAAACTAACCAAAGTAAGGGAAAGGGCCAAATGAATAAAAGTTAGAGACCAAAAGGAGATGTTACAACTGATAACAATAAAGTTCAGGGGATCATTAGGGAATGCTTTGTAAAATCATGCTAAATTAAATAAGCCACGGCTTTGCCCACCCACACCTTCACTGGACCCCTACAAGGCTTTTGGTGAAGTGACAGGCTTGGCTGATCCCTCACACAACCACTTCAGCTCCTAGGACGTGGGAACGTGGCTCTTGCAGAGGATCTTGGGCCTGGTGGATCCCACAGGACTGAGTGTGGCTCAACCAACCCATGCCTAGTGATAGAAACAAAGAGGGGCAGTGCCAACGCCAGATGATAGCAGCCGCCCTGCCACCCTTACCCCAGACCCTTCTGAAATGCTGGCCGCTTCGGAAACTGACCCTGGAGCACTTCTCCTGGGGCTTTAAAGTATTCCTAATAATATTTGTACTGTAGGAGCCAGCCATGATGAGCTAAATAGAAACAGACCACCCAAAGGAAGTTCTTTATTCCCAACCATTATCACCTGCCAGTGTGGGACTCAGCCATCGATAAGTTTAACGGAGGCCTGAGTCTCAGTAGTTTACCCTGAGGTTGCAGGAAGGACCACAAACCGAGACTGCCCAGGCACCACCCAGAAACAGACCATCCAAAGGAAATGCCTAAAGTTCCAACGGTTGTAGATAGGATCACCCCCCAGCACATTCACCAGAACACCCCTAGACAAATGTCAGCCAACCAGGGGTCCTGAATCTTAGAAATCACTCATCCCTACCTTTACTACTATAAAAACACAACTCTAATTGAGCTCGGGGTTCTCTGATTATTCCAGTACATTGGACATGTGGAGAGACTGAGCTTGCAAACTTGCATAAAATAAAGGCTCTTTGCTTTTACATAGGGGATTTGGTCTCTTTGTTGGTTTTGGAGGAACTTGGTGGATCTGGACATAACAGTACTATTGGAGGAGAAGGCTGATCACACAACTAAAATTACCTGGCACAAGTGAGAAGGAAGTACAAAATAACGCAACAAACCCACTTAGGAGTTTATTAGAGGAGATGTGTAAGGTCTGGTAAAGTCTGTGTGCAGAATGTATGAGAGGGCTGAAGATGGTGCGTCCAGCTTTTACATGCTGGCTAGTGCATGCGCACAGGGGGGTGATGTAGCTACGTCATAAGCAGATGACAGAGCTCATGCATGCGTGCAAGGGCTTACATAGCTGTGTCATAGTAGGTGATGCAACCATGCTGCACACGGGTCACACAGGGCCTTTTAAGGTCCCCGGGGTGGCTAAGTATTCTGTCTGAGGGCTTGTCTGCACATGAGTGGCCTTGGAACCTGGATGTGCCAGCCATGCTGGTTGGCTAGAATTATAACTGTTGGCCAAAAGACCCAAAATGGATAAAATAGTGGAACCAGGCATATTCTGGCAAACTTGTGTGTAACCAAATAGCCATGTCTAACCTTACCAGAGGGAGTAATCAAAGGTGTTCGGTGTTAAACTACACCTCTAAGATGTTTCCTATGATGTTGAAATCAACACTGAGCAGAAGGTGGTCATTTTTTTTGGTGGATGGTCTTTACAGAGAGTATTCAAGTTTAAATGAGGTCATTGGGTTTTGACCAAAAGGGGAGAGGGGTGTCTTAAGACATGAAGACAGAGAAGGAGACAATTTAAAGATATTAGGAGAGAAGACTACCTGGAATTACCGGGCACGAGCAAGAGCAGATCAGGAGACATACAAGGAAACCCACTTTAAGAGGACTACTGAGAACTCAAGAACAATGGCAATGGGTTTTTGATCCTACTGCACGCACTGGCTTTTTGGGAGCCTAGGCAGTTTGGATGCTCACCTTACTAGACCTGGATGGAGGTGGGTGGTCCTTGGACTTCCCACAGAGCAGGGAACCCTGATTGCTCTTTGGGCTGACAAGAGAGGGGGACTTGATTGGGGGAGGGGGAGGGAAATGGGAGGCGGTGGCAGGAAAGAGACAGAAATCCTTAATAAATAAATAAATTAAAAAAATAATAGAAAGGTATTTAGGAATTAGTGAGGAAAATTGTATAATCTAGTTTCACGCTATCATTAGAACCAAGGGGGACTGCAATTGAGTCACCTAGTCATACATGGGAACATCATCAGGAAAAACACATTCAAGCATTTAATGTGTTAAACAGTAACTCTTCCATAATAAAGAAAAGTTCAACACCAAAAAAAAAAAAAAGAGTTTATTAAGCGAGAAAAACACACGTACGCAGGTCTGAGGAAGTTCGTGCCTGAAGAGAGTGTGGACGGGGGGCGTGTCCAGCTCGGTTTCCAGACTGTGTAGAGGGATGCACAGTGGGAAGTGTAGATCACGTGACCACGCTGCCTGTAGGTCACAGAGGGCTTGGGTGGCTGTGTAATTTGCAGGAGCGCTTGATGGCGCCTGCACAGCCCTGGAACCCGGAAGTGCCAGCGCTTGGGGTGGCTTGATATTTTGCCAAAGCACTGATGGTAACGATAACACTACCAAGTGTCAGGAAAGACCCTTCTACACAAGTGCTTCCTTCATAAAGCACACTGTTTTACAGCGAACAGGAAGTGCGTTCCAAGTGCCGTGGGGGGGGGGGAAATGTTGAAGGTTGAAGAAAGACTACATTTCCCAGAAGGCAGAGCCGCGGTCTGGGAAATGACGCACTGAGTAATGGGCGTTCCTGGGAACCGCGGCGGCAGGACTTCCGACGTTTGGTCCTTTGGTTCCCGTCCCGCCTCCCCAGCGGTTCACTGCTTTGGGCAGAAGCGGGCTGCGTTGAATTGAGAAGAGCGCAGGAGAAGGAGCCCGAAGACAGAGGATCCACTTCTACATTCCGCGCGGAGCGCGTCCTCCTTCGCGGCCGAATAGCACTCCCCGCCGCACGCTTTTCGGGGCCTCACTACGAGAGGCCCCCATGGCGATGCCCGCACAGGTGAGTGGATGGCCCTGCTCTCAGGCCTTCTGCTTGGGTACTTGATCCTGGAACTTCCGATCCTTCCCGCGTTAGTGCTCTGGATCTGAAAGCAGCGGGAGCCTCAGGGGGCTCCCGTGTCGGGCTCAAGTTTTGAACCCTGCTCTTCCGCGCCCTTGGCGTCCGTCCCCTGGGTCTGTAATGGAATGTCCGTAATAATTCCGTCCTGAGAGAACTGGAGCCAGTACGCGTGTGGTTTGGGTCTTGTACTCAGCAGGAGCCAAGCAGCATCACTCTGTGGGTGTGGCTTCGGGAGCATCCGTGTTGCCGGCAAGGTGGTCTGCTGGCAGGCAAAGAGACTGGGTTTATCTTCATAGCGAATTTGGCTTGCCCCTGAACAGCACTGAATCTGTACTGCAAAGGAAATCCGTTAAAATATTCGTTAATGACGGTGCTTTGGGGATTCACATGCCCAGCGGACCCACAGTTATTTTCCAGCATGCCACTGTTCACTGTTAGCTAGGTTGCTTGGTGTCTCCATCAGGGATTATTACATAAGAAATATAGTCCTTCTCATCACCGCCATTCAGTCAGTCATTGTCCCACAGCCCCACAGATAGGGGGACCGGCTCAGCAGGGTTGAGTGAGATGTCTTCACAGTCTAGCCAGCAGGGCCCACCAGGATGGGACCCAGGAGCCCCCCCACCCCCCAGTGTGTGTGTGTGTGTGTGTGTGTGTGTATGAATAAGTGATGCCTCAGGCTGATGTCTGGCATCAGCTGCTCTACACCCTGATCTACTGAGGCCGTGTCTCCCAGTTGGATACAGAGCTGACTTTCCGGCTCATCAAGCTAGCCATCTTGCTCTGGAGATCCTTTGCCATCCGGCATATCCATGGGCACTGGGAATCTGAAATCCTGTCCTTATGCCACAAGCACTTCCCCACAGCCATCTTCCCAGCCTGTTGGAACACGGCCCAAGAATGGAGTCATGCGAAGAGGATTCTGAGTGTTCGCGAGGAAACTCCAAGAAGACAAGATCTTGTGACCTCAGTTTGTTCAAAACACAGACTTGTCCTTGGACTGTGTTTTTGTGCTCCTTCCAGGTGCAGTGGATAGGAGAGTTTACTTCAGCTGTCTTCATTAGCCTCCACGGAAAACATGTTTTTGCTGCATGCAGCTTGTCCTTGGAATTATACACATTACTCAGGTGACGCTTCTTAACCCTTGGAGTATAAATTGTCTGATGCTCTGAATAAAGTTGGCTGTCACATGAGTTTTAGGCCCTGCTCTCCCAGGTCTACGCCACCAACTAGAGCAATAAACACATGCCCATGCCCTGACTTCAGGTTTCTCTGTGTGTAGCCTGACTGTCCTGGTTACTAGTCTATGCTGGGCAGACCAATGAGGTTCAGCAGCTGAGGTGGTGATCATTGTTTGAATTACAGTGTCTTTGTCCCCTCCCTAAGCCCGTGGTGATATTTTGTTTGTGCTTTTAACAAACAAAGCTTTCCTGATGATGAGTGCGGAGCTAGCCACACTAGATAGCCATAGAGGCCAGGCAGTGGTGGCTCACACCTTTAATCCCAGCACTTTAATCCCAGAGAGACAGAGGCAGGTGGATCTCTGTGAGTTCAAGGCCACCCTGGGCTAAACGATGCTGAATCAGTCTAAAAGAGAAACAGAGCCAAGTGGTGGTGGCTCACACCTTTAATCCCAGCACTACAGAGTTGGAGACCGGAAGTGATATTTCTGGGCAGAGAGAGGAATACAAGGCTGGAGGAGACAGGAGCTCAGATTTCAGTCTGAGGTTTCATAGAGATGATGACATTTAGTCTGGGGACTTGTAGAGACGGGATACTCCATTCGGTCTGAGGATTTCATAGAGGTAAGAACTGGCTGCTCTGCTTCTCTGATCTGTCAGCTTTTACCCCCTAATATCTGACTCTGGGTTTTTATTATTAAGACCAATTAGAATCAGTGCTACATTTGGTGACTAACATGGGGCTTGAACCCACGACCCTGAGATTAAGAGTCTTATGCTCTACTGACTGAGCTAGCCAGGCTGGGCTCTTCTAATATCACAGGTTATTGTCTGTGCCGGGCCAGGTCCTTAAGAGAAGATCTGCAGTCAGACTTTGTTCCTGCATTCTTGCCCAGAACCACGGAACAGGGTCCAGTTTTGCATGTGGTCTACACAGCTACCCACTACCTCTGTTTATATTCCCAGGCCTTGGTTTCATTTGAAGATGTGGCCGTAACCTTCACTGTGGAGGAATGGGGACAGCTGGACCCTACTCAGAGAGCACTGTACCAGGAGGTGATGATGGAGACCTGTGGGACCACAGGGACAACTGACTCTTCCAAGGAGACATGCCCTGGAGAGCTGGCTTATAATCATGAGGCTTTGGAGACAGATGATGGTCTCTGTTTACAAGTCTTACAGGAGCAAGCTACTCCACGAGATTCTTACCATGAACATGATTCTCAAGGACCAGAAAAAGAGCGTGTGGTTGATGTAAGGAGCCTTTATCAGTGTAAAGACTGTGGGAAAGTGTTTAGGAACAATCGGACCTTAGTATGGCATCAGCAGATTCATGCTGGAGCAAAGCCTTATGAATCTAGTGAGTGCGGGAAAATGTGTCGTTCCATGGCTGGCTTTGTTCAGCATATGAGGATTCACACTGGGGAGAAGCTACGTCAGTGTGTCGATTGCGGGAAGGCCTTCAAGCGCAGTTCTCACCTCACTGAGCACCAGCGGCTGCACACTGGAGACAAACCCTACAAGTGCACCTAATGCGGGAAGACCTTCTCCCATTGCTCCACTTTCCTCCAGCACAAGGTGACGCACTCTGCAGAGAAGCCTTTCCTGTGCAAAGAATGTGGGAAAGCTTTTTGCTACAGCTCTTCGTTTGTTCAGCATATGAAGATTCACACCGGAAAGAAGCTGGACGAGTGCGGCCAGTGCGGGAAGTCCTTCATTCACTCCTCCACATTGGTGAAACACAAGAGAACCCACACTGGAGAGAAGCCCTATGAGTGCAAGGACTGTGGTAAAACCTTCACTCACCACTCCACGTTTCTCCACCACAGCATGACCCACACCGGAGAAACACCCTTCGTGTACAAAGAATGTGGGAAAGCTTTTTGTGTCAGCTCATCCTTCATGCAGCACATGAGGATCCACACTGGAGAGAAGCCATACGAGTGCAGTGAGTGTGGAAAGGCCTTTACCCAGCGCTCCACTTTTATCAGGCATAAGAGGACCCACACTGGAGTGAAACCCTTTGAGTGCAAAGACTGTGGAAGGGCCTTTTGTGACAACGCTTCTCTGATTCAACACACGAGGCTTCACACTGGCAAGACGCCCTATGAATGTGATGAATGTGGCAAGGCCTTCACCCACCACTCTGTTTTCATCCTACACACTAGAACCCACAGTGGAGTAAAACCCTTGGAATGCAAAGAATGCGCAAAAGCCTTTTACTATAGCTCGTCCTTCATCCGACACATGTGGATCCACACTGGAGAGAAGCCTTATGTTTGCAGAGAATGTGGGAAAGCCTTCACTCAACCTGAAAATTTTCTCCGGCATAGTAGGATCCATACTGGAGAGAAACCCTTCGAATGCACAGTGTGTGAGAAGGCTTTTTATGACAACTTTTCCTTGATTAGGCACATGAGAACTCACACTGGAGAAAAGCCCTTTGAGTGCAGTGAATGTGGGAAGACCTTCAGTCATAATTCATCCTTTATTCAACACCAAAAGATTCATACCAGGGTTTAAAAGATAGGGGCAGTGTTTCCCTCCATCCATTTGAACAAGCACATGCTAGAAAAATACTTTTCAATGTCAGTATCAGGGAAAATCCTATGGCCAGAGAAATAATTTAGTTTCTGGAAAATTATACTGAAGAGACACTTGATTGTCATTCCTATAACAAGTTTTTGTCACAGTTCATCACTTGCCATCTAAAGAATCATATATTAAAAAACAGGCCAGCCTAAGCTCTGCACAGTATCTGAAAATTATCTGGCGTAAAACCCAGTTTTGCTAGCATTTGGTTAAATGCCAGAAATAATCATCCTTTTATTTATTCATCAAATCTAACGAGCATTTTAAAGCAACAAGGAACAATAGGGGGGAGATAGATGAGCAAAGATGAAAAAGAAATGTTTGCATGACCTCAGATTTTCCTAGGAAGCAATGGAATTGTCATGATAACACAAGAGATCTAAAAGACCTCACTCCCATGTGTTTTCACACTGCCAAAAGAATTGCACCATTAAGGGCTTTGTGTCAACATTTCTTTTTATTTTTAATTTTTTTTTTTATTTTTTCAAGACAGGGTTTCTCTGTTTAACAGTGCCCTGGCTGTCCTGGAACTCACTTTGTAGATCAGGCTGACCTCAAACTAACAAATATCCACCTGGCTCTGCATCCCAGGTGCTGGGATTAAAGGTGTGCACCACCACTGCCTGGCTCTTTTTCTTTCTTTCTTTTTCTTTTCTTTTTTTTTTCTTTTTTTTTTTTTTTTTTGATTTTTCGAGACAGGGTTTCTCCGTAGCTTTTGGTTCCTGTCCTGGAACTAGTAGACCAGGCTGGCCTCGAACTCCCAGAGATCCGCCTGCCTCTGCCTCCCGAGTGCTGGGATTAAAGGCGTGCGCCACCACTGCCCGGCTTCTTTTTCTTTTTTAGTTGAAATTTTTTTTTTTTTTTTTTTTTTTTTTGGTTTTTCGAGACAGGGTTTCTCTGTGGCTTTGGAGCCTGTCCTGGAACTAGCTCTGTAGACCAGGCTGGTCTCGAACTCACAGAGATCCGCCTGCCTCTGCCTCCCGAGTGCTGGGATTAAAGGCGTGCGCCACCACCGCCCGGCTAGTTGAAAAATTTTTATACAATATATTTCAATCATATTCTTAACCCCCCAAACACTTTTTTCTTCAATGGTTTGGGTTATAGGGGTGTAAGACCCTCACCCTCAGGTCTTAGTTCCAGGGAGAAGTCCCGGCGACTCAATTAGCCAGTCTCCAAAGAGGCAGAACACCCTGAACAACAATTCCAGCAAGCTTTTATAGGCAAAACCCACATTAGCTTATCAGATATGGGTTACAATCTGATTGGACATTACGTTTTTATTTTGCGCCAGGTGAATGCGTAAGTCGCAAACAATGCCACACCAGTTTGGAATTATGATTAATAGGGTGATATTTATTTAAAGGGGAAAAAACTTACAGATCACCGTCCCAGACAACAGCCCTCTGCGCAATCTGGCAGGAGTCTAGTCGCCGGAAACGGAGCAGGAAGCACGGAGCAGGAAGCGAAAAGGGGCGAAAAGGGAAGTAGCTGCTTTTTTAAAGGGAGAGAGACCACGTCCCAATGGGCTGGTATCTCAGCCGCTATAGGCTGGAGGAGCAGAAGGACCTCCCGCAACAACATTAGCATAAGGGTCAACCTTAGGACATAGTTGTTCCAACTGGTTCTCGGGGGGAAAACCCCAAGGCGTTGTTTTTCGAGCCAGGCAGGACATGCATGGGTGGGTTGTTTTTCAAGCTAGGCAGGATATGCATAGGTGGGGGAATGAGGAACCTGTCCAGGTGCTTGGGGCTCAAGGGAAATTCTCCTTTTCCCAATTTATTTTCTTCCCTCCTTTTCTTATGTCCCTAGTTTTAATCTTAAAACTTAGGGTTCTGACTCCTGCTGTTTCAACATCTGATATTGTTGTGTAAGCACTAAAGTCTGAACTATAGACAAGCGATCTTTAATGAATTGCAGCAAGCGATTTAAAATACAAGGCCTAAAAGTAAACAGAAGTAAAAGTATTAATAAAGGCCCCATGACGGTAGAGCTTAGGGTGGTCATCCAGGGTGACCTACTGTACCATCCTTCAAACCCGTTCTGTTGTGCTGCCCTATACTTTTGACGTTGGTTTAGCCTCTTTCTTAATTTTGTCATGGAATCTGTTATTACTCCAGCATGGTCAGCATAAAAACAACATTCTTCCCCCAGTGCAGCGCAAAGGCCTTTCTCCTTTAAAAATAATAAATGTAAACCCCTTTTATTTTGGAGCACGACTTCAGACAAGGAGGCGAGGGATTTTTCAAGCAAAGATATGGAGTTCTCGATTGCCTGGAGGTCTGTGTCTATAGCAAGTTGTGACTGGGTTAATTGTTGGTTCCCTTGTATAGGGCAGTTCCTGTTCCTATCCCTGCTGCTACCCCTCCCAGTCCCAGCAGAACAACCAGGGTTAGGGACACGGGTTCTCTTTTCTGTCTATGCCTCCCCTTGAGGGTTTCTAGCAGGTCATCCTCCAAATGGTAGAGGATATGAAGCATTACCTGGGTTAACACACAGAAGTCCTTAGTTAGGTTCATGACTGTAGCTGACACACAGGGAGTAAGCCGGGTATTCCATGCCCACCATGTGTCATTAGGGGGAACCAGATAGTAGTTCCTGGGACTTATTGAAATGGTTTGGTTGCATAGAGGCTGGTGACTACTTGGAACTGTCCCTATAATAACCCTTGGCCTCCTACCTGTGGTAAAGTGAGCTTGTGTAAGCTGAGGTTTTTACATATCTCTGGGAGAGTGGTCGAATTAGTAATCTCTCCAGATGTGGCTGGTCCTTCATAATAAGGGGGACTAGAAGCTAGGCATAGCCAACAAGCCTGAGTAGCTTCTGGGTTAGTCCCATTGAGGGCTGTGAAAGCTCCCTCTACCAGATGCATTAGCCTGTCTCCCGAACCGGAGGGTCAGTAGGGGTAAAGGTTATGAATGGGGATGACGCAGGTGTTAGAGGGATTTGCCTGGACGCCTGGGGGGCCTTGTTCTGGATTTTTGTTGGTCCTTTTAAATTGGGCAGGACTGGGTTGGGGCCAATGGCTTGGGTATTAATGGTGGCTATATTAAGTCTTATCTGGAAGGTAAATCCTTTATCCTATCCTGTCATGTAAAATCAAAGCCCCTATGTCCTACCTGTGGGCCAATTTGCAAACTTTCATCCTTGTTGGGTAAAAGTTATGTTAAAGGAATCTTCTCCCTTGTTTCCTCTAGTTAAAGTGATTAGGCCCCATGAGGATGAAGGACGCCAATAGGCGTCCCCAGTAGTTTGACAGGACCATTGTTTGCAATAGAGACTCTGGTCCTCCACACGATATGCCTGATTTTTGTTTCTCCCATCTCGGGGACATACATAGAAAGATGTCTGTTGTAGTTTCCTTTTGGCCAGTTTGTCTTTACAACCAGGATCTGCTATAACATATTGGCCTTGGGAGGTGACGCCCTGATCTAGGGAGCATTTCATGACATGTAATGCATCATCTGAGGTTGGCCTGTCGTTATGTTAGACTGGGAATGTCCCATGTCTCTAATCCTATCATCAGGTCACAAATTTTGGGGTATAGGTAAGGCCACCAAGTGTTAGGAGGGTATGAGCCTGTAATAGACCAGACGATAGCTCCTGTTTGGAGAGGACCTGCCAGGTAAGTTGTTTAGGGGTGTGTGGGCTACTTCCCTTGGTCTTACAGATCAAAGGTATCAAGAATAAAAGTATGAATATAAGGTTTACACGATTCGCATGAGTCTTAGCTTTAGGGGGTTTTGAGTGCGTTGAAGTCTCCATATCTGCTCTGATGTCTCTCTGCGTTCTGGGCTAGGTGCAGCGTTCACATGGGAACCATGTATCCACACAGCAACCCTGTCCACCTTCAATGCAGTTGGAGTCATCAGGAGTACGGTGTAGGGTCCTTTCCAGCGAGGTTCGAGAGTCTTGGTCTGGTGTCTTTGCACCAGGACTGAGTCGCCAGTCTTGAAGGGATGGGGGCAAGAAGGAAGGTTGTTCTCGCAATAAGCGTCAGAAAGGGGCTTCCAAATTTCCTGTTGCACCAGCTGCAGAGCTTGCAAATGGGCCTGCATGGTAGAGGAGGTGGCATAAACAGAAACATCAGAATCAAAGAAGGGTATGGTTGGCGGAGGACCTCCATAAATGATTTCGAAGGGGGTGAGCCCATGTGAGCCAGGGGAATTTCTGGCTCTGTACAGGGCCAATGGTAGGAGTTGAACCCAGTCTCTAGTGCCAATCTTCAGCATCAATTTGGCCAAGGTCTCTTTAATTGTTCTATTCATCCTTTCCACCTGACCTGAACTTTGGGGTCTGTAAGTACAATGTAATCTCCAATTAATCCCCAATAACTTGGCCACCAACTGACTTACCTGGGAGATAAAGGCTGGACCGTTATCTGATCCAAATACCTTAGGTAGACTGAACCAGGGAAAGACTTCTTCCAAAAATTTCTTGACCACAACTTGAGCAGTCTCTTTCTTGGTGGGAAAGGTGTCTATGAATACTAGCAGATACTTGTTATTGTATGATGTAGGTGGGTCTTCTATCTATCTATTGTTTCATTGTTTAATTAATAAAGAAAACTGTTTGGCCTAATAGGTCAGAACATAGGTCGGCGGAGAAGACAGAACAGAATTCTGGGAGAAAGAAAGCTGAGTCAAGCAGACGATATAGCTCTCCTTTCCAAGATGGACACAGGTTAAGATCCTTCCTGGTAAGCCACCACCTCGTGGTGCTACACTCATTAATAGAAATGGGTTAATCAAGATGTGAGAGTTAGCCAATAAGAGGCTACAGATAACGGGCCAGGCAGTGTTTAAAAGAATACGGTTTCCGTGTAATTATTTGGGGTAAAGCTAGCTGGGTGGCGGGACACAGCCTGCCATTCCTTCTACACAGAAGCAGCAGCAGACAGATCTCTGTAAGTTCCATGACAGGTAGGAATACATAGAGAGACCCTGTCTCAAAAACAACAAAAAGAAAATATTGCCATTCATGAATGAACCTGGAGGATAGTATGCTAAGAGAAACAAACCAAAAACTAAAAGTACTACATCAGCCAAACATGGCCATGGACCACAGAAAATTGAGAATTAGAGGCCAGCCTAAGTTTCACAGCAAGAATCTAAAAGAAAATACTAAAATCAAAATTAAAATACTTCACCATCTTTGGTGTATAGTGTTGGTTGGCTGACTGATTGGGGTGGCGCTGGGGAGTCAACCCAGGGCCTGTGCATGCTAAGCAAGCACTCTGCCACTGAGCAGCTCCACTTCCTGGCAGAAAGCCTTAAAATTCCAATACATAGAGAATCCAAAAGTCAATAGCAGGGGCTGGAGCTACCTGTGGCTCACCGGTTAAGAGTACTTACTGCTCTTCCAGAGGACCTGGGTTTGATTTCCAGAACCCACATGACAACTCAACCATCTGTAATTCTGATTCCAGGGAATCCGACACGTAT